ATTTACTGGTGCCTATCTCCGCGATCCCGCCCCGGAATCAGTTTGTCCTTGGTATCGAGGACCATGCTTGCTTCAGTACCTCGATGAGCTACCGTCTCTGACCAGATGCGTAGATGGCCCCGTTCGCATACCAATTGTTGATCGTTATAGAGACATGGGAACTTTTGTTTTCGGTAAAATTGAATCAGGGGCTGTTTACCGAGGACAAGCACTGACAATTATGCCGAACAAAGTTTCCGTGGAGGTTCTGCAGGTAGGTTTATAAAACCGTGCACTACTCTGTGATATTCATTTACCAATAAGAATTACTCTTTGTGTGTTTTATTACGCACAAATTTTCTGACTGAACTTATGAACTGTGCGATCCCTTAGTCTTACGGTTTACCACCGAATTCTACATTCAGCTCTGTTATTAGTCTAAATCGTCTATGCCTATTTCATTTGTCATTCCTTTTAATGTCACATAACAGTTCTTTTTAAAAGTCAGATGGGAAACTCACACATTTGCTCATAACAAACTCTCGGGCTTGTAAAACGTTTACCTTATATCTAGTAATCGTCAATAGAAACTATCCTCCCTAAGGCCTTTAACTTATCATCCTATTTATGCCTTAATTGTTAATTAAGCTACAGCCTGTGCTTCAGCCTACTGCTCATCCTTAATAAGACGTTTTAACTTTTTTCGAGTGCTCATTGTTATAGTAGTAGGTGCCTCGGATCATGACTAAGAGTATTAACGAATTAGCTCTAAGCATTTTTGTTGAAACCTTAGTTCGTAGGGACTGTGGTAGAATCTATTCGCGGGTGGACGTTTGTTTCTGCTATTCTTAAAGTTCCGGTTACTCTAAGTGTCCACACTTTGGCATTGTTCTAGTCGGGACGTTTTCGATTAATCGGGTTGAAGACCCCTGTTCGGGCAGACCGAGGTAATAAAGCCTGCAAAACCACTCAAACCCCAGTCACCTCCTACACCCCGTCGATTACTCACCGTCATCGCATTGCAGTCATCCACGAACGGATTTTCCCGGACCGTAACCATTTACTCGACTCTCCATTGTTCTCGATATTTCGTCTGTCGAGCTCGATGAGGATAATTAATATCTAGTAATGGCTTTGGCTTACTATCGATTTGGCTCGTATATTGCAAGCATCTGCACAGTATCGAACTCGCTCTCCTTTAAGCAGTCGTTTTCCAAAAGCAACCCAGAGTCAAGACGTGTCGCCGTTGTTTCACCCGCGCGTGTCGTATTCACTATTCTTTACGCCAATCAGACTTAATTAGCCTGGCATTGTCATCAGTAATGTCACAAAGCTTAATTGGAAAGACACATTTTATCCCGATCCCCAATCCACGGAACCCTCAAAAACACAAATGATTAAGAACGTGCCCAAATTACCCCAGTTGTTTTTATCTGGTGACCTCGCGGTGTTGTCGCAGCGAGTGCAGACTGTCTAATTTGAAACAATGTCAGCGTAATTCATTCGAAAAACGGTCCCCTGGCAGTAGCTATAATTTACATCTAGTTTTCGCTCATCTTCCGTACGCATAGCCCAGCATTCACAGCCCGGGAGAAGAAAAGGTCATACGGATGTACGGTACACGCGAATATTTGTGGTAATTAAGGCTTCGCGTCGGATCTGTGGACAGTTTCTAAGTTTTGATTAAACTCGGCAGGTAGCCTTGATTCGGGAGTCTGTCGTTCTTCCTATGTCCGTTCGACCGCAGCCTTGCCCCGAGGCATTTGAAACTGCCTACTGTCATATGACGGCCATTTACTGGTATCTTCCCGCTGCAATACTGTTCCTTCTGGTTGCCTTGCTGTGCAGCCTTTGTTTGACCTCAAATTATTCTGATGGTGGGTCGCATGCCACTGCTTAAGTTGAAGAGAAATAAAATCTCGCTGCAGAGAAGGGGTGTGTTCTCTAAAATAAAAAAGGCGTTCGAAGTAATTGTACTATCATTCAACATCGGCTGATTTGTCAACAATAAAGCTTCCATTTATTCTGTAAGCAAGAGCTCACACTGTAAACAAAATACCACCATTTTGGCGCATAATTTATTACAGTTTCGAGCATAACTAACGATTGAGGCTTGCTCCATTAAAGTTGTTATTTCACCCCAATATTTTTTATGACAATTCCTAGCCAACTATGTCATTATCCTCCTTCCGGTTCTGACACAAAAGTGCTGCCAGCCAATATCAGGAGAGTCCATATGCGCTGGCTACCATACATGTAACCTTCGAGATAAAAATCATTTTCCTTTTCAATATTTCCACAATTAGTGAGAAAAATATTCGAAGTAGTGGCACC